AGGAATCCAAATAAGGAGGCATTTAGTGCTTTACACTGCTTATATACTGGAGGACCAGGACCCAAATTTGCACAGTAAAATAACATGCTGGAGTGAACAATATGGGAGGAAATGCAGAATAGTGCTAGTGAAGAGTAGAGGTGCCATATGCACAAATCAGAAAACACCGAACATAAGAGGTCCACAGTTGTCCAATATCCTTCTAGCAAACATAAGAAATATTGCCAGAACAAAAGTGGAAGTCTTCTAGAAAAACTAAAATTTTCCTACAAGAAGTGTGGATATGTGGGCCTGCAAGCCATTCCAAGGAACAGCCTGTTATATCAAGCTCTCATAAGTTTAACCTGGCCCCGGGTCAGGCTTGGGAATAGAACTCCCATACTCTCATCCAGGTCCATTCCAGGTACAGTATATGTTACCAGTCTTGGAGTATGGTACCATATAATGGAGTGCCCATCATGGAGTATCTGCATGTTTTGTTTCCATAACTGTACAACTAAGCTGGTATCTTGAGGTTATCTTGAAGATTTTGGGGCTTAGCGACCCCGTGGCCCAGTCCTTGACCATGCCTCCTTTTTGTTATACATCCCCAGGAAGCAACTTGTAGCAGCTGTAACCCCCCAGGTACCTATTTACTGTTAGATGAACAGGTGCATCAGGGTGAAAGAAACACCGTATGACAGAAGTCACACCACTCAGTAGTCGACGCCACCTGCCTCACCAAGATTTCTCCTACAACACTGTTTTTGCTGTTATTACACTGTATCCACGTTATAATTATCTAAATTTGTGTTCACCATAACGAATCTCCAAACAATATAGGGGCCACCTCACACCAGTCAGCCTCACTGCCAAGATTCCTCTCAACATGCTATGCACAATGCTAATTATCACCACAATGCTGCTATTATCAAAATTCTGCTCACTAAATCCTGTAAAAGAATAATTTTCCAAAAGTTTATTTCATAAAAGAACATAAGTCATTTCAAGATTCTTATGTGGGCCAAACAATAGTAGTGTGCTGTGGCTACCTGCCTAGCACTGTGAATATTTTGAACAACATTGTGTTCACTGATATCTGAACATTGTACACAGGCTTTTCTGCAATACTATCACTAAATAGTAGCAGTTACATATGTTTTTTGACATTATTAGGAGATCCTGTGGTCACAAGCTGAACAGCAGTGCTGTTAGCTAATGCTGCATGCACCAACCTTGGTTGCTCACTCGGTACCGAAACACTCGCCTGGGAATGGACCTCAGGATTTTTTTTTTTAAATGGTGTCTGTTTACTGGAGCCCTGAGGAAGCTGATGTAAACCCTGTATAGCCGCGGGACTTTGAAATCTTACATGGTATTTCAAAATGTATTTGATGTGCACTGTGCATGTAGTCAGACCAAAATCGTATATACACAATTAGTGCCGTTCAAGGTTCAAGAGGTAGCATAAGCCCTCGGTGTACCTCTAGCAACGATCCTTAAGGATTTACATGCAAAAGGAGAGTAGCCAAGCTGCTGGAAGAAGGCAAATGCCATACCAATTTTCAAGAAAGGGGTTATAGGGGTCACTTAACTACATGTTAGTGAGACCAGTTTCACTAACAAGCATCCCCATGAAAAGCACTGTACTTACTTGAAAGAATAATCAGGTTAAGATTAGTAACAGAATTAGGCGTGTAAACAAACTTCACCATGGTTTTAGGGAAAGGAAATTCTGTCTTAACAAACCTACTGGAATTCCATGATAAAATAAAAGGATAAGGCAGCACAGAAAAGTATGGGCAGATGGCATATTTCTGGATTGCCAAAAACCCACTGACACAGTACCTCACAAGAGATTACTGTACTCACTTGAGAGGCAGGCAGGAGTAAGTGGGAAAAGCCCTAACATGGGTTAGGAATTACCTAACAAGCAGGAACCAGAGAGTAACAGTCGGGAGTGAGATGTCTGGCTGGCGAACAGTAACGTGTGGTTTACATCAATAATTGGTTCTGGGAGGAATTCTATTAATTAATCATATATATAAGTGACCTATCTGCAGGAATACTTTCATGTCGGTGCTTGTAGATGACACAAAATTAGAGAAGAATGGTAGCATGATTTTTTCATGGGTCCAGGTAAACTCCATTACATCCACACAGACCTATTATATATCCATATTTGCAACATACATGTAACCAAGACAATATTTTTTTAAATCTTCATATGGTAACTGCATTACCCTGTGAATAAACAATTGGTAACTGCTGTCTAAGGGTTAAAGACCAGCAAATGTGAAGTGGTGGAAATGGGAATAGACCAATGAAGGGGAAACAACCTCCCTGTAATGACAAGAAAAAGACCTAGAAGTGGATATAGTAATACCAAACCAATCTTTGGAGCTCATATAAAGAGGATATCAACGGCATACTCTACACTAGCAAAAGTTAAAACATTCAGATCACTGTGCATCACCTACGTGAGACCAGTATGCTGCAGTCGTGGAGCTGCCATCTAAAGAAACGCTTATGAAAGCTGAAAAAGGTTCATCCCAGAATTGCGAGGAATGAGATGGAGAAACACTGAAGGAACTAAACCTGATGGCACTAGAAAAAATTAGCAGACATGCAAAATACTTAGATTGACAATGAAAATAAGGAAATGCTCTCAATAAAAACCCGCAGTATGGGTGGAAGCGTGACTGATGAATCATAGATGTTTGAAAGTTTTCATTCACTCTTGAGTAGTGGGAAAATGGAATGAACTAAAGGAGCTGGTTGTAGAAGCAAACTCGTTCATAATTTTAAAAAGGTATGGTAATAAAATAGGTCACTAGTAGTTGTATTAGACAACCTGCAACTAGGAAGGTGGGGGCCCAAGAGTTAATGCTTGATCCTGCAGGTACAAACACGCGAGGTGACTACATGCGCGCACACATTGCAAGATTGTGTGAGAAAGGTACTGAGCGATACAGTGTGCGAGCAACCTGTCCTATAAAGAACGTCCATTTTGATCCTATGCATTACAAAAGGCTAAAATTTACGTACTAGAAAATGGAAGAGGCCCCGCGAAAGTGACATAAGGTCTCGTTTTCTGTTTTGGGTCCTGGCAGGTTAGGAGAGAACACTTTAAATTTAGAGAGGGTGGGGGGGGGGGGGGGGGGTGTTAAGAGAGACTATCATATAATGTACAACTCGCTCACACGTATGTGCATCCACAATTAGACAATCTCCAGAGATGGTCTGAGAAATGGCTACTAATTCTAATCCTGATGCAAGCGTATGAACATAGAACTTGGAATAGAACTCCTTAAATACAGTACAGATGAAGAGAATGCAACTCCCATCATCTGAAAGATTGACCTAAGAGCGGTCTTAAAATCTAACACCAGAAGAACACATCAGGATAATAACGAGAGCAGTATATGACTTGCTTGCAAACGTATGTTCATTCACTGCCACCTATTTGTGCCTGCAGGATAGAGTATTAACTCTTGGTTCCAGCCTATTTTGTTGCAGGTTGTCTAATTCAGTGACTTGTGACCCATTTCCCTGTCATTTGTTTTTAAAATTAAGAACGAGTTTGCTTCTATAACCAGCTCCTTAGTTCATTTAATTTTCCCTCTACTCTTAGCCCTTAGACAGTGACTATGGAAAAGGGTCATACCTCCCTATGCAAAAAATATATATAATATAAAAAGAAATTCATTAGAATTATTAATTTGTATGCAGTGTAGGAAACAAAAATTAAGTGAATATTTGTTTCAGTGGGTGGAAGCATTCTGCAAGGCTGTGTCTGGCACTTGTCAGCACCTGGAGCTTGACTATGCTGGCTCGCTTTTATTTTCCGATGTTTCACTGGTTGTTTTATCACATGTTTTTCTTTGTTCACACAACTATGATAGCCACATTTGCATGATACATGTAAAACCTAGAAAATAATTGTTTAAATTGTCATGACGATGACTTCATTACCCTAGTAACATTCATGACAACTGCATTCGTACCATGAAATGGTAGCAGGATTTTTTTCATGGGTCAAGGTAAACTCCATTACAACCACATATCCATATTTGCATTATAAAGTACATGTAAAGCACAGACAATAATTGTTTAAATCTCCTATTGATTACCTCAGTCCCTTGGGGATCATCAATAGACGATAATTGCAGCCAAAAGGTTAAACTAAGTAATAACTTTTAACATATGTGATTCATCCGAGTCGAGTTTCGATATATCTTCCTCCACATTGTTCGCATTCGTTCTCCCTCTCCAACAGACTCCAAAAGGCTCCCTCCTAGCCTTTTAGGAGGCTATTGCACAGTATATAGCTACTGGCACCCCCGTGTCAGAAATGGAAACCTGTTTCCTCTTCCTCCACAGAAGATAAGGCTTCTGTCCTTCCCCCAATTTCCTCTTCTGTCCTGGTTCTTACCTCTCCTGTCATGGGAGCAGAGTTGGATGATCTACACATGAATCTTGTGAGTTACTTCCCAACTACCCTTTGTGGTCATTAGTCATTTGATAAAATCCTTAGTGAAGCCAATATCTTCGATATTGCTTGCCTTATGTGCTGCTGTTGTTATATTGACATTCTTGGTGATGAAAATGGGAAACTGCCCATCAAGAAGGTGATGTTTAGCCTCTTTTGAATATCCAGAAACACTGATGGTGCTACATAGTCTTCCCAGCTTGGTGCCTTTTGATAATTTGTTTCCATGGGTTTACTGGAATGGTTAGAATTGGTACATTTACAAACTCTTAAGTTTTTCACTTAGGTGATAATTTTTTGTCTAGGCTGTTTCTAAATGAACCTAGTAAACTGGTTTATTTAGAAATTTGTGCTTGGTATACTTCATTGGTACTCACTAATACATCCTAACTGGATAATTTCCAAATATCTTTTTAGTAGTGCCATTTTACTGACTTTCAAAATTAAGTGTTAATATAATGAATCTTTGCATGGAAATTTTATATCAGTAGCAAGAATATGAAAAGTACATGTCCTATTTTTATAACAGCTGACATGGGGAAATTAACAGCACCAAGTCTGGGGCTAGTTATAGAGGATATAAAGGAGGACCTTGACGATGTGCCAGAACTAATAGAAGCTGGACAGGAGAGTATAGCTATGTCTATCCCAACAAAGGAAGAAAAGGCTGAAAATGAAGCCTCTCCTAAGGATGAGGCTAAGAAGGATATTCCTGTTAATATAGAGGAAGCAAAGAAGGAAATAGTTTCTGCTTCTGAGGATGATGTAAAGAAAGCAGCACTTTCTGCATTCAGTAAAGAAGCAACAAAAGAAGTTCCTTTAAACATTAAGGAAGAAGCAAAGAAGGAAGCATCCCAAGGCAAAAAGAAGGGTTCTAAGGATGAAGCCAAAAAAAAAGCAGCTGCTGCTTCTAAGAATACTGATAAAAAGAATGCATCCTCCAAAGAAATGGAACATGCGTCAGCTGCTGAAGATGTAAAGAAAAAGGCGACTCAAGCACATGGTAAGGAAGCCAAGAAGAAAGCAGCCCACGACAAGGCAGAGGTAAAAAAGGACGATTCACCTGCCCAAACTGAAGTGGTCAAGCAGGAAGTTCCTTCAGTTCTTCCTGAAGTAGGCAAGGCAGCAGTCACAGCTGATGAGAAGGCCAAAGAGGAGGCAGTTTCAGTTCCAGCTGAAATTGTACAAACACCTGTTCAGGATGAGTCCAAGAAGGAGGCTGTCTCAGAACCAGCTAAAGCAGAACCCAAAAAGGAGAGTGCTGCTAAAGGGCAGTCCAAAAAAGAGCATGCTTTGGCAAAAGGACAGTCTAAAAAGGAGGCTGCTCAGGCTAAAAAGGAGGCTGCCTCAAGAACTAAGCAAGAGGCAACAGCAAAGAATGAATCAAAGGAGGCCACACTCTCACCTGCTAAAATTGAACCCAAGGAAGCTGCCCCAACACCTGCTAAGGATAAGGATGAATCCAAGAAGGAAACTGCCCCAACACCTGCTAAGGATGAACCAAAGCAGGAAACTGCCCCAACACCTGCTAAGGATGAACCAAAGCAGGAAACTGCCCCAACATCTGCTAAGGATGAACCCAAGAAGGCAACTGCCCCAACACCTGCTAAGGATGAACCCAAGAAGGCAACTGCCCCAACACCTGCTAAGGATGAACCCAAGAAGGCAACTGTCCCAACACCTGCTAAGGATGAACCCAAGAAGGCAACTGTCCCAACACCTGCTAAGGATGAACCCAAGAAGGCAACTGCCCCAACACCTGCTAAGGATGAACCCAAGAAGGAAACTGCCCCAACACCTGCTAAGGATGAACCCAAGAAGGAAACTGCCCCAACACCTGCTAAGGATGAACCCAAGAAGGAAACTGCCCCAACACCTGCTAAGGATGAACCCAAGAAGGAAACTGCCCCAACACCTGCTAAGGATGAACCAAAGCAGGAAACTGCCCCAACATCTGCTAAGGATGAACCCAAAGTGGTTGCTTCAGCTGTAAAGGAAGCATTGCAAAATGAGGTAACTGCCCCTGGTAAGGAAGAAGCTAAGGTAGAGACAGCCCCAGTGAAGAATGACACTGTTCCTGCTGCCCCAGCCACCATGGAAGAGGCTGCTGCTCCTGCTACCGTCCCAGCTGCTGTGGAGGTTGCTGCTCCTGCTGCTGCCCCAGCCACTCTGGGGGCTACTGCTGCTGTCCCAGCCGTCACAGAGGCTGCTGCTGTCCCTGCTCCTATCCCTGCTGATGCTCTTGCCCCTGCTACTGTGGAGGCTCCTGTTGCTGCTTCTGCCACCACTGTTAACTTGGAGGCTGCTGCTGCTGCTGCCTCTTCTGCCCCAGTCAGTGAGGTTGATCCTGCTGCTTCTATTCCTATGCCTACTAAGGCTGATCCTGCTATTCCTATCCCTACTGAGGAAGCTAAACCTGCTGCTGCAGGTGAAGCCTCTGCAGCAGCCCTGGTTGCCTCGCCAACACATGCTCTGGCTTCTGATCATATTACACCAAGTACAACTTCAGGTGTTGCACCCTCACCAGTTCCAAACCCAGCCTCCTCTAGTTCCCCAGCTCCTGCATCACCATCCATACCCACCCCTGCCTCTGCTTCTACCTCACCCCAAGCTCGATCTGGATCTGCTGGACAGCCCGCAAAGAGCAAATCCGTTAAGAAGCAGAAGCAAAAGGGGAAGTAGGGTATGTTTACTTTGTGTGGAACAGACATGACCTTCCATTGTGTTGATGGGGTAGCTTGCAACCCCCCCTAGTGTGCTCCTATCATGAGCATTTCATCACTTTCAGAATTACCATTTGGCCAGTTGGCATTTCTCACAACTTGTATTATTTGAGTGGCTTAATGATTTAGTGTGATGATTACACCTGGTAAGGGAGGTAATATTCTACAAAAAGTAGTTTAGTGGCATGATTTGATGTAATATATAAGTATTTTGAATAACCCAGTTTTATTATTACACTAACATAGCTTATTCAGTAAAGTGTTATGTAATGTAGGTGGTTATTAACAACACTGACATTAAAGTTGTAATTTTTTTAATGGTATGCCTGTTTTGAAGAAGGATGTTTTAAGATTAAATTAATTACATGCTGTAAATTAAAAGTGTGATTTTCAGGTTTGGTGTTAGGTTATGAGTTATATAACTGACGTGTATGTTCATTCTTAAATAATTTATCCACAATAAAGCATTTATCTAAAGCAAAGGGATAATTTGGTGTGCCTTGGTCTTGGGTTCTAGATAACTTAAGTGGGATGATTGGGTATGAGCCAAACATACATGTACTTTGTGTAGTACATTATGCTGTACTAGTTCTGTAAACTATGATGGAATGTCTGAAAGTCACTAATACTGTAATGTTTTCATTACAATTTTCTCTGCTTTGGATAGGTGGATATCAATGGAATGTACACAAAAGGAATGCACAAAATTCAATAACTTTGGTCAGGTTCAGACAGGGAGGAATGTGTTTATTAATGGTAATATATTATGAACTTAATTATTTTTCAGCCGTTGAAAAGCCTGCCGTAACATTGGAGAAGGAAGCAAAGATTGAGGAGATTACAGTTGAAGAAAAACCAGTTGTGAAACCAGATGGAAAGACAGATAAGCCCAAGGAAGAAAGTAATGAAAAATCAAGCAAGATAGTGGAAGTAGCGCAGTCCGCAGACAAGTCTGCAGAGGAATAATGTGCTCGGGTGGTGATGGCGGCAGCGGCACAGGTTCAGTTTACCTGGAGCTACTCCGTGGTTACTAACCAGCAAACAAGAATCCTCAGATATAAATGATAACCCTCTTTTCTGCTGTTGAAGACAAACTAGCTCCTAGAATTTCTGTAATTGTCTTGACAGTGGTTAACTCCTGTTCTAGCTGTTATGTTTCTTGCCCATTATTTTTTGTGTATATAAAAGATTGTATCTCTTTGATATTGCATCAGTGGACCCGTATTTTCTCTCACCCTATGCCTCTCGGTATATTTAAAAAGGTGGAAAAAAGTTTGTTGAGTGGGCGATCATGCAGGATTTGTAATGAGCCTTGTAACATTAAGCCATTAAAGTAAGAAAGTTTTTATAATTTTTATTTATCACTGAAAGAATCTGCTTGTCTTATGTAATGAGCAAGCATAACCTTCAATGTTTGTATCCATCCTTTCTCCCAGTTATGTCTTGGCCACCACCATACATGTGATGAAACCATCTTTTTTTTTTTTTTTTATATTCCTTGTTCCCCACAATGGTGTCTTAGGATTTACCTGGTCATGATCCATGCGCACACAGTACTTCACAAGTTTAACTAATCAAAGCATTTTTCTGCAGAAACTAAGAGTTTTGACACGATGTAGAGAGTACAACTTTGAAGTTCTTTAATCATGGCAGGTTTCAGTTAAATATACATAATAACTTTGATTATTTAAACAAAATGTATTTTGTTTCAATTAACAAATAGAATTTGAACATGTCATGAATATTAAATGTTCTAAAGGTTCAGAAAATGTTTAAAGCAGGATGATTCTTAAATCATCGATGAATCGTCTAGTCACCTCAGATGCACTCTATACTCAGTAGACCATGAAATCCATAAGATTTCATGGTCTACTGTCGATTGTATCAGGTATTAGTATTTTACTTCAATTTGGAATAAATCAATGGACTATCTGGGAGTCGAGCCAGTAAACCCAACATCTATTTACTGTTGCAGTATTAATGAGTGGCGTTCATTTGACGTCGAATTGATATTTCTTTGTTATAGACCCTAACTAGGCTATCAATGAGCAGATCCAGTTCAATGATTATTGTTGAATTGGCGTTGATTCGGCGCCGTTCTTATATATTGTGCTCGGTGGGCACAATGTGTGCAATGTTAATAATTTGTCTAATGCTAGAAATGTGATCAAATTCCTCGCCCAGGATGACAGGGGGGCATGTGACCAGTAGCTTGTACTGGTAAGTTTTAGATACATTGAGGATATAGATGATCTGGGAATAATGTCAGACGACCTAACGTTAAGGGGCCATGAGTTAGTTTTTTTAAAAGTTGTTCAATGTCAATAAATTTTTTGAATAGTTGTATATGAAAAGGGCTGCAATTGTTCTAAGCTTCAGTATTGCAGCCTAAATAGAAAGGGAGATTTTTTCAACGAATTTTAGTTTCAAATTGAAATTACAACCACAAGATTCAAATGAAGTCATTTCTGTGACACACCTCTGTCACATTAGCATATAATAAAAGGATCTGTTTCAGCAGCTTTTCCAAAATATGATTAGTTTTACTAATACAAATAGTTTCATAAAAAAATTATGCAAATACATCATGGTTTATTACTATTATAAAACCAATAAATGAACTTTGGACAAAAAAGTCGAAACAGATTTGTAGAAACATGAACTCTATATATAATGTATATATAAGATGCATTTATCCTTTTGTTTTAAATTCTTACTAATCATAACTCCCAGATCCCTTTCGCAATCCGACTTCGCAATCTTAACACCATCTAGCTCGTATCTTGTAACTCTATCATCATTACCTAGCCTCAGAACTTTACATTTATCAGCATTAAACTGCATTTGCCAATCCTTTGACCATTTCAAAACCCTATCTAGATCAACTTGAAGTGATAGTGAGTCGTCCTCCGAATTAATTTCCCTGCCGGTTTTCGTATCATCGGCAAATTTGCAAATGTTGCTACTCAAACCTGAATCTAAATCATTTATATATATTATAAACAACAGATGTCCCAGGACAGAGCCTTGAGGCACTCCACTTATAACATTTTCCCACTCTGACTTGACTCCATTTATACTAACTCTGTTTTCTTTGGTATACCCATGCCCTAATCTAGCTTAATATAGCACCCCCAATACCATGAGCCTCTTATCTTTTTAATCAGTCTTTCATGTGGCACTGTATCAAAAGCTTTGCTAAAGTCAAGGTACACAACATCACAATCCTTACCACTATCAACTGCCTCAACTATGCTAGAATAAAAAGATAACAAATTTGTTAAACATGAACGGCCATTTATAAAACCATGTTGCGACTCAATTATTAATTTATGTTTTTCAAGACGAAGGCACTTTTCTTAACAGGAGGAGGATGGTAGGAAAAGAAGTGAATGTACATGCCACTATGCATGGGTTTACGGTAGACAGAGAAAGAGAACCCGGACACAGAGCTGTGAACGTGAACGTCAAGAAAAGGAAGGAGGGAATTAGATTCCCACTCAATTTTGAAATGGATGGAAGGAGCCAGATTGTTAAAAGAGGAGAGGAAAGGCTGGAAAAGACTAAGGTCATGAAGCCATAAAGCAAAAATGTCATCAACATAGCGAAGCCAGAGAGAGGGACGAGTATCAATAGAAGGAAGAAGAATAGTTTCGAAGCATTCCATGTAAAGACTGGCAAGAACAGGGGGAGAGAGGAACCCATAGCCACGCTGAAAGTTTGAGAGAAGTATTTACCGTTGAAAGAGAATGAGTTAACACAGAGTTTGATGAGTTCGAGGAATACGTCAGTGGGAAGCGGGAGAGGAAGAAGGCCCTCAGTCGCCTTCTGACTAAGGAAAGAGAGAACGTCATCAATGCTCTATTTTAAAATAAGAGTTGATTGTTGATTGTTCAATAAATCCCTGAAATATATGTTTAACAGATCTCTCACCCTGTCCATGGAGGACAGAAGAAAATGTATATATGCTTATTAGCATTGTAAATGTGTGGCCACGTCTGTGGTAGAAAAATAGTAATAATACAAAAAAATGTTCTATTTTCTAATTACTTTCTAATTACGACGAAACGTCGTCGTTTCTTCAATTTCTAGTGTGTAGTTTGGTCAACTTTTTTAGCCACGTTATTGTGACTTTTCGTCAGCATAAGTGTTACTTGTTTCTGTTTTACTTAGGCGCAGTATGAGTATTTATTACTCTTATGGTCGCTTTAGTAAGATTGTTAAACAACTTCTTCTGCTCTTTTGAATTTTAGCTGAAATCTTATTGGGTTTGTAACTGTGCACTGTGTTAGATAATGTTCCAGTGGTCTGTCGGGCATTTCTCCACAGTGCTGACATTTCCTCTCATCTTCCAGAACCTGTAAGCCTATTTCCCATGCACATGGGTATCCAAGCCTGATGCGATGTAAGTGTACTTCTGTTGTTCTACTGCTCCATTTCATCAAACTAAGTGGTTCATAGTTGGTTGAATTTTTGTATTAACCCGCAGATCCTGATGTTGCAACTGCTGTGTTGTGGTCACTGTACATCTTCTGCATTGCTTTATTTATAATTACTTTCTTAATCTGTGATAGACTCTGTGGAATGTAAATGTCTACATTTCTTCTCTTAGTTACAAGTTTTGCAGTTTCATCTGCAATGTTATTTCCAAATATCTCCAGTCGACCAACAAATTGGGCCACATTTGACCCGCGCCACATTTATACCTGGCGCCACCAGCAGCCAACAGAAAACAACTGCCTCACCGCAGCACCAAGGATCAGCTGACGCCATAAACACAACATTTCGCCCTACAGTGTGGCAAGTCTCCCTCTAACACACACCTCTCTTTAGTTACAGCTCCTCTATCTACACCACAACACAATAAACACTTTTGAAATCTTGTCCTTCTCAACACTGACGCTTCTCCCAACATTTGTTCTCGTGCAGTCATCGGGAGGATAAATCCTTCATGCAAACTGCATCTATCGTGAGGTTATCTTGAGATGATTTCGGGGTCACACACCCCCAGGAAGCAGCCCGTAGCAGCTGTCTAAACTCCTAGGCACCTATTTACTGCTAAATGAACAGGAGTATCAGGGTGAAAGAAACTGACCATTTGTTTCTGCCTCCACCGGGGATCGAACCCGGAACCTCACGACTGCGAATCCGAAGCGACCTACCACCAAGAAGATGTATGTAAATTATATTTTTAATATATATTCAGTTTGACGAAGTTGGATACATTTTTACTCAACTACTTTCATACAGGATTGAGTTGATGTTTTAGTATTGATCACTGGAGTGTTGAGGGCACGATATAATTATCTCTGAGCATTGTTGGAGATATCGGGGTCTTTCCTGACTACATTTTGAATAAATATTATCTTGTTTTGTTGAAACACACTACTTAAATATACATTCACATTCGTGCTGCTATCTAGACCAAGGGCTGCTAATTAAACACTAATCTAATTAAGCACTCTAATTAAGATTAAGATAAATTAAGATCAAGATTAAGCATCTAATTAAGACAGCTAATTAAGCACTCTAATCTTGTCAAGTAAAATGCCTTCGTTCAGAGCCAAAGAAGCGAAACAAAAATAACTTTTTTTATATAATAAATGTCAGGTTTTAGAAATCTCCAAAAGATACAGCACTTTGATTCCAGCAATTCTGTTCACTTTCATTTTGAATATTTTTCCAAACACAAAATCAAATTATTTTAGTAAATCATTTCACTAAACACCTTGCGGCAGTGAACATGGAGGACCCCACCAAAAATGTTTCCAATTGGGCCTCCCATCTCCTATGGTCGGCCCTGAATCCTAAACTATATGAAAAAGTTACACAATCTGTCATTGTCGCTTTCTCATAGGACGGTAAGTCATAAAGGGGCCCTGTGATCAGTAGCCTCCACTAACAAACTTTGGGTACATTATGAGGCTATCCTCAAGAACACGTTAGCCTCCACTAACAAACTTTAGGTGCATTATGAGGCTATCCTCAAGAACACGTTAGCCTCCACTAACAAACTTTGGGTGCATTATGAGGCTATCCGCAAGAACACGTTAGCCTCCACTAACAAACTTTGGGTGCATTATGAGGCTATCCTCAAGAACACGAATAAATTAATGGCATAGATTTTTAACATTGGTATCCAAGTCTACTGAGTAAGGAGTCGTGTTAAAAGTCAGATGCGGTGACAGCTCTTGTGGGGGAATAATTTGTTCAGAGTATTTGATGCTGACTTCCCAGGTGCTCTTAGGACAGGACGGGCTAAGATACAAGCTTCAGCAAGATAAGCTGGTCTCATAACTCAATAGTGATGTGAGGAAACAAGATCTCAGAGACTCGCCTAACCACAATCGAAGGAGCTTCAGCAACTTACCAGACTTACCGAGGCCGATGTATAATAACTCCCATGTGCAGGCGATGAGTCACAATAACTATATATATATATATATATATATATATATATATATATATATATATATATATATATATATATATATATATATATATATATATATGTTTCATTGAATATGACCGCATATTCTGTATTTATTATTTTCTGGTTTAGGGCTTCTATCCCTCTAACTATTTTCTTAGCATCAGGGCTTAATTTTCCAATTAAGCCCTGATGCTAAGAAAATAGTTAGAGGGATAGAAGCCCTAAACCAGAAAATAATAAATACAGAATATGCGGTCATATTCAATGAAACATGTTTGAAAGAAAACCTGCTGCCAGTATACACCAATATATATATATATATATATATATATATATAGTTATAGATATATATCAATATAGCTATAACTATATATAACTATATATATCAATAACTCCAATATGTGCGAGCCGTTACTCTTCTCAATAGGCTGCATTTGTAACGTTAGTTACGATAACGTAAAAATGATATCAGTGCTGGCCAGGCTTGTAGGAGGCCGTGTCCTCATGTTCTTGGTATGAGGCCGGGTCCTCATGTTCTTGGTATGAGGCCGGGTCCTCATGTTCTTGGTATGAGGCCGGGTCCTCTTGTTCTTGGTATGAGGCCGGGTCCTCGTGTTCTTGGTATGAGGCCGGGTCCTCTTGTTCTTGGTATGAGGCCGGGTCCTCATGTTCTTGGTATGAGGCCGGGTCCTCATGTTCTTGGTATGAGGCCGGGTCCTCATGTTCTTGGTATGAGGCCGGGTCCTCATGTTCTTGGTATGAGGCCGGGTCCTCTTGTTCTTGGTATGAGGCCGGGTCCTCGTGTTCTTGGTATGAGGCCGGGTCCTCTTGTTCTTGGTATGAGGCCGGGTCCTCATGTTCTTGGTATGAGGCCGGGTCCTCATGTTCTTGGTATGAGGCCGGGTCCTCATGTTCTTGGTATGAGGCCGGGTCCTCATGTTCTTGGTATGAGGCCGGGTCCTCTTGTTCTTGGTATGAGGCCGGGTCCTCTTGTTCTTGGTATGAGGCCGGGTCCTCGTGTTCTTGGTATGAGGCCGGGTCCTCTTGTTATTGGTATGAGGCCGGGTCCTCATGTTCTTGGTATGAGGCCGGGTCCTCTTGTTCTTGGTATGAGGCCGGGTCCTCATGTTCTTGGTATGAGGCCGGGTCCTCATGTTCTTGGTATGAGGCCGGGTCCTCATGTTCTTGGTATGAGGCCGGGTCCTCTTGTTCTTGGTATGAGGCCGGGTCCTCATGTTCTTGGTATGAGGCCGGGTCCTCATGTTCTTGGTATGAGGCCGGGTCCTCATGTTCTTGGTATGAGGCCGGGTCCTCTTGTTCTTGCTATGAGGCCGGGTCCTCTTGTTCTTGGTATGAGGCCGGGTCCTCATGTTCTTGGTATGAGGCCGGGTCCTCTTGTTCTTGGTATGAGGCCGGGTCCTCTTGTTCTTGGTATGAGGCCGGGTCCTCATGTTCTTGGTATGAGGCCGGGTCCTCATGTTCTTGGTATGAGGCCGGGTCCTCATGTTCTTGGTATGAGGCCGGGTCCTCATGTTCTTGGTATGAGGCCGGGTCCTCTTGTTCTTGGTATGAGGCCGGGGCCCTTATTCCCTTAGTGTCAGACTCGTCAATAAATAGAGACACTCGTAGATATCGCTGAAACTAATTTGATAACAAAAAATGTAAATGTTAATATGATAATAATCATATAATAATTCATTGTCTCGGGGGGACAGGTAGCCAGTTTATATATACAGTACATGTTAGGCTTATATCCCCCCCTCCCCCCCAAAAAACCTACCTCACTGTATAATTATAAGGTGTGAAGTATAGACAGAATTGTTAACGTAATAATCTCCGTTGAGGTCTGATAAAAGACCTTTTGTGCCCTCTGTAATCCTTTTTTGCGCTACCGCTCACAGGATGAGTATGGGGTGCACAATAAACCAGGCGCCTCCGGCGGCAACAATCAAACAATCTGACAATCAACAATCAATCCTGGGTACCAATTTACTGACAGGTGAACAGGTGCATTAAGTGATAGGAAATGCGCCCGAGCATTTCTGTCCCGGCCGGGATTCCAACCCGGAATTCCCGATTGTGAGTCGAGAACGAACTCGACTACCAGGACCATTCATAAATGTGAAAAAATGAGTCGTGGCATTAATCTAGACAGGTTGGGAAGGCTAGGAGCCAGCTAGGAGCCAGCTAGGAGCCAGGTAAGAGCCAGCTATAGGAGCGAGCTAGGAGCCAGGTAGGAGCCAGCTAGGAGCCAGGTAAGAGCCAGATATAGGAGCGAGCTAGGAGCCAGCTAGGAGCCAGGTAAGAACCAGCTATAGGAGCGAGCTAGGAGCCAGCTAGGAGCCAGGTAAGAGCCAGATATAGGAGCGAGCTAGGAGCCAGCTAGGAGCCAGGTAAGAACCAGCTATAGGAGCGAGCTAGGAGCCAGGTAGGAGCCAGCTAGGAGCTTAGCTGGACCCTGCCAACACAGCTAGGTGAGGACACACACACAACCACCTGTAGGAGGTGGGAGTTACGAGGCCCAACTACCTGGGGGAGCTGACGAGGCTCCCACCCCCACCTGCGTCCCGTGGGGGTGTGAGGTGGGGGCGTGGTGGGGTGTGTGTGAGGGGGTGCTCGCGTGTGCGTGCTGAAGGGGGGGGGGGGGCAAGCGTGGTAATTTTGGAAAGAGGGAAACGGTGTGTAGTGATGGGGAATGGGATTTTTTTTTTGGGGGGGGGCGCGCTAAGGGAGGTTTGAATTGGTGGGTGGGAGGGGGAGAGAGAGATAGAGAGGGAGAGAGAGAGAGAGGGGGGGAGGGGTGGGAGGAGCTAGAGGGAAGGACTGGGTGAGGGAGGAGAGAATAATATACAGATGGCAACATAAGAGGAAGGAGAGCACGACACTAGTGCCATCACCGCGGGACGTCTGGGCGTCCACGTCAACATGGTGGTACAGACGTCTGGGCGTCCACGTCAACATGGTGGTACAGACGTCTGGGCGTCCACGTCAACATGGTGGTACAGACGTCTGGGCGTCCACGTCAACATGGTGGTACAGACGTCTGGGCGTCCACGTCAACATGGGCGTACTGACGTCTGGGCGTCCACGTCAACATGGTGGTACAGACGTCTGGGCGTCCACGTCAACATGGTGGTACAGACGTCTGGGCGTCCACGTCAACATGGTGGTACAGACGTCTGGGCGTCCACGTCAACATGGGCGTACTGACGTCTGGGCGTCCACGTCAACATGGTGGTGGAGACGTCTGGGCGTCCACGTCAACATGGTGGTACAGACGTCTGGGCGTCCACGTCAACATGGTGGTGGAGACGTCTGGGCGTCCACGTCAACATGGGCGTACTGACGTCTGGGCGTCCACGTCAACATGGTGGTACAGACGTCTGGGCGTCCACGTCAACATGGTGGTACAGACGTCTGGGCGTCCACGTCAACATGGTGGTACAGACGTCTGGGCGTCCACGTCAACATGGGCGTACTGACGTCTGGGCGTCCACGTCAACATGGTGGTACAGACGTCTGGGCGTCCACGTCAACATGGGCGTACTGACGTCTGGGCGTCCACGTCAACATGGTGGTGGAGACGTCTGGGCGTCCACGTCAACATGGGCGTACTGACGTCTGGGCGTCCACGTCAACATGGTGGTACAGACGTCTGGGCGTCCACGTCAACATGGGCGTACTGACGTCTGGGCGTCCACGTCAACATGGTGGTACAGACGTCTGGGCGTCCACGTCAACATGGGGGTACTGACGTCTGGGCGTCCACGTCAACATGGGCGTACTGACGTCTGGGCGTCCACGTCAACATGGTGGTACAGACGTCTGGGCGTCCACGTCAACATGGTGGTACAGACGTCTGGGCGTCCACGTCAACATGGTGGTGGAGACGTCTGGGCGTCCACGTCAACATGGTGGTACAGACGTCTGGGCGTCCACGTCAACATGGGCGTACAGACGTCTGGGCGTCCACGTCAACATGGTGGTACAGACGTCTGGGCGTCCACGTCAACATGGTGGTACAGACGTCTGGGCGTCCACGTCAACATGGTGGTACAGACGTCTGGGCGTCCACGTCAACATGGGCGTACTGACGTCTGGGCGTCCACGTCAACATGGGCGTACTGACGTCTGGGCGTCCACGTCAACATGGTGGTACAGACGTCTGGGCGTCCACGTCAACATGGTGGTGGAGACGTCTGGGCGTCCACGTCAACATGGTGGTACAGACGTCTGGGCGTCCACGTCAACATGGTGGTACTGATGTCTGGGCGTCCACGTCAACATGGGCGTACTGACGTCTGGGCGTCCACGTCAACATGGGCGTACTGACGTCTGGGCGTCCACGTCAACATGGGGGTGGAGACGTCTGGGCGTCCACGTCAACATGGTGGTACAGACGTCTGGGCGTCCACGTCAACATGGTGGTACTGATGTCTGGGCGTCCACGTCAACATGGGCGTACTGACGTCTGGGCGTCCACGTCAACATGGGCGTACTGACGTCTGGGCGTCCACGTCAACATGGGGGTGGAGACGTCTGGGCGTCCACGTCAACATGGTGGTACAGACGTCTGGGCGTCCACGTCAACATGGTGGTACAGACGTCTGGGCGTCCACGTCAACATGGTGGTACAGACGTCTGGGCGTCCACGTCAACATGGGCGTACTGACGTCTGGGCGTCCACGTCAACATGGTGGTACAGACGTCTGGGCGTCAACGTCAACATGGGCGTACTGACGTCTGGGCGTCCACGTCAACATGGTGGTACAGACGTCTGGGCGTCCACGTCAACATGGGGGTGGAGACGTCTGGGCGTCCACGTCAACATGGGCGTACTGACGTCTGGGCGTCCACGTCAACATGGTGGTACAGACGTCTGGGCGTCCACGTCAACATGGGCGTACTGACGTCTGGGCGTCCACGTCAACATGGTGGTACAGACGTCTGGGCGTCCACGTCAACATGGGGGTACTGACGTCTGGGCGTCCACGTCAACATGGGCGTACTGACGTCTGGGCGTCCACGTCAACATGGGCGTACTGACGTCTGGGCGTCCACGTCAACATGGTGGTACTGACGTCTGGGCGTCCACGTCAACATGGGGGTAGAGACGTCTGGGCGTCCACGTCAACATGGTGGTACAGACGTCTGGGCGTCCACGTCAACATGGTGGTACAGACGTCTGGGCGTCCACGTCAACATGGTGGTACAGACGTCTGGGCGTCTACGTCAACATGGTGGTACAGACGTCTGGGCGTCCACGTCAACATGGTGGTACAGACGTCTGGGCGTCCACGTCAACATGGGCGTACTGACGTCTGGGCGTCCACGTCAACATGGTGGTACAGACGTCTGGGCGTCCACGTCAACATGGTGGTGGAGACGTCTGGGCGTCCACGTCAACATGGGCGTACTGACGTCTGGACGTCCACGTCAACATGGGCGTACTGACGTCTGGGCGTCCACGTCAACATGGTGGTACAGACGTCTGGGCGTCCACGTCAACATGGTGGTACAGACGTCTGGGCGTCCACGTCAACATGGTGGTACAGACGTCTGGGCGTCCACGTCAACATGGGCGTACTGACGTCTGGGCGTCCACGTCAACATGGTGGTGGAGACGTCTGGGCGTCCACGTCAACATGGTGGTACAGACGTCTGGGCGTCCAAGTCAACATGGTGGTACAGACGTCTGGGCGTCCACGTCAACATGGGCGTACTGACGTCTGGGCGTCCACGTCAACATGGTGGTACAGACGTCTGGGCGTCCACGTCAACATGGTGGTACAGACGTCTGGGCGTCCACGTCAACATGGTGGTACAGACGTCTGGGCGTCCACGTCAACATGGTGGTACAGACATCTGGGCGTCCACGTCAACATGGTGGTACAGACGTCTGGGCGTCCACGTCAACATGGTGGTACTGACGTCTGGGCGTCCACGTCAACATGGTGGTGGAGACGTCTGGGCGTCCACGTCAACATGGTGGTACAGACGTCTGGGCGTCCACGTCAACATGGTGGTACAGACGTCTGGGCGTCCACGTCAACATGGTGGTACAGACGTCTGGGCGTCCACGTCAACATGGTGGTACAGACGTCTGGGCGTCCACGTCAACATGGTGGTACTGACGTCTGGGCGTCCACGTCAACATGGGGGTACAGACGTCTGGGCGTCCACGTCAACATGGTGGTACAGACGTCTGGGCGTCCACGTCAACATGGTGGTACAGACGTCTGGGCGTCCACGTCAACATGGTGGTACTGACGTCTGGGCGTCCACGTCA